GTTTTTTAAAAAAGCTATAATTAATATCTCTTGAGCAAGAAGCAATGTTACAACCATGAAACAATAAAAGGAATACCCAAATAACAAGAAATAGTATTGGCAAAACGTTAACTAAAAAAAAAAAAAAAAGAAAGGATTGGTAGGTAAAGTTGCGGTATTTCCAGACTCTCTCCTTTATCTTCTGTAAATACACGCAGGAGTGTCGCACGCAGAGTTGTTGTGATCGTTCGTTTCCACGGAGTCACCTCCTACTCGTGGCTACCCGCGTCTAAGAGAACGCTCCCCGTCCTGCGCGTCCTCCTGACCCTCGGCACGTCTGAGTCTATTGTGACTGTTGTGTTAGTTCGTATCGAGGGTTGGAGGGTTTCCTTGTTTCCGCTGACCCTCCACTTTACCAAACTCCATGTCCTTTTCTAGCGATTGGTCTTTCCTGATGACTTGTCCAAAGAAAGGGAGCTAAAGTCTCGCCCTCCTCAGTTCTAAGGAACATTCTGGTTGTATTTCTTCTGAGACTGATTCTGTATCTCATCTGGTCTTTTGTATCTCAAAGTCGACTGGTTTAAAACGCACCCTACGCTGATACGGCCTCATTAACATAAGAAAGAAAACCCTATTCCCAAATGGGACTACATCCACAGGTACAGGGGTTAGGATTCCAACACAGATTTTGAGGGGGACACAATTCAATCCACAGCAGCACCCAATAAATGTTGTTGAATGAATGAATGATGCGGAATTCCTAAGGGGAAGCAGATCCTCCGCAGTGACTTTATCAGGTTGTCGTCAGCGATTACCGGATTAGAACACCTACCTCAGGAAGGTCTGAGGGCCAAAGGGGAGATCAGACTCCAGAGCCTGTCCCACCTGAGCAGCAGGTGTCAGGGCCTGGGACAGAAATAATCAAAATGGCTCACAGCCCTCGGATATTTCAAAGACCCTTAAAGAGTCTTTGTAAATGAAGAAACTGAGGCCTAGAAAAGGGAAGTGACCTCCCTTGATCACTGGAGGCAGAACTGGAACTAGAGGCCCAGTGTCTGATTATCTACAGTTGACATCATCAGCAGTGACACTCCTCATGGATGACTACTAAGTCACTGTACGTAGGGCCAGCTGAGGCAGAGGGCAGGAACCATGTAAAGGGAGTGTCCACCTCACGGGCTTTAACTCAGCCTGGCGCCAGGCACCACCACCCATCTGTCAGTTTGTCCCACTGCGGAGGCTTGCGTGTTGCTATGATACTAACAGCTATGCCATCGGTATCTCAAATAGCAACAGGGTCACCATGGTGGGCAGGTTTCAGCAGAGCTTCTAGACTAAGACAGACTAGGAAGAAAGGCCTGAAGATTTACTTCTGAAAGTTAGCCAGTGAAACCCCTGTGGATCACGGCAGAATACTGTCCAATACAGTGCTGGAAGATGAGCCCCATGGGTCGGAAGGCACTCAAAATACATGGCCAGAATGCTCCTTAGAAGCAAGCATGGCGAGACTATGTCTTACATTGGACATGTTATTAGGAGGGGTCAGTCCCTGGAGAAGGACATTGTGCTTGGTACAGGGTCAGCGAAGAACAGGAAGACCCTCAAAGAGATGGATTAACACAGTGGCTGCAACAACAGGCTCAAGCATAACAAAGATGGTGAGGACGGGGAAGGACTGGGCAGTGTTTCATTCTGTTATACACAGGGTCGCTATGAGTCAGGAATCAACTCGACGGCACCTAACAAGATTTTGAACTATTGTTTTTGTTTTGCTCACCCCCAGTGTCATATAAGAAAGTGAGAGGAACAGCAGGAGTCTCTGTTTTTATCTCATCTGACTCTATCTAGAACGCGATGTTCTACCCTTTCATGATTAAGTCATCTCCATTCATTCAAAAATTACGCGCCTATTATGTGCTCGGCCCTGGACTAGGTTTGGGGGTCAAGTAATATGTGAAAACAGGCACAGTCTTGTCCTCAAGGGGTTTAGTATCTAGTTGGGATACAGGCAATCGTATAACTACAGAAATACATTTAAAATTATAACTATAACTTTGAAGTGTGCTTTGAAGCAAAGCTATAAGTTATGTGCTGTCTCAGGAGAGACCTGTCTCACACCAGGAAGTCAGAGGAGTCACATATTAAGAATTTACAATTGCATTAACTAGGACTCAGGGTGGGACTGGGGCTTGTGTAAAGGCCTGAGGTTAAAAAAAAAAAAAAAAAAAATCATCCCTATGAGACCAAACAGTCAACATTTACCCTAAAGCAAAGATGAGAAGGTGGGGGGATGGGGCGGGAAGCTAGATTAATGGAAACAGAACAACTAGAAAGGAAATGAGAATGTTGACACAGTGTGAAAAATGTAACCAATGTCACCTAACAACATGTATAGAAATTGTTAAATGGGAACTTAATTTGCTGTGCAAACTTTCCCCCAAAACACAATAAAATATTTAAAAAGAAAAAGAAAGCCCTGAGGCAGAAGAGAGCTTGGTCCCTTGGAGGATGCCTAAGGCAAGGGTGGCTAGTGGGCAGAGTGCAAAAGGCAAAAGAGATGAAGTTGGAGTCTGGGGTGAGAATCTGCAGCCCAGCTAAAACTTTGATCTTTATCCTAAGAGAAAAGGAAGCCATTGAAATGTTTTAAGCAAGGGATTGAATACAATGAGAAATACGACAGTATATTCATTTTGAGAAGATGATTTTGGCTGCTGTAAGGATAACGGGTGGGGAAGGTTGGAAATGGAGAGACCAGAAGGCCATGTGGTCAAAAGAAGATAATGGCAGATGAGTGAAGACAGAGAGATCTAGGGAGTAAAATACACCAATGTGTGTGTGTATACATATATATATATATATATATATATATATATAGTTTTTGTTTTGTTTCAGATTTTTTAAAATTTTTTTGTTTTTGTTGTTGAGAATATACACAGCAGAACTTGCACCATTCAACAATTTCTCCAGGTTCAGTTCAGTGACACCGATTCCATTCAAGCTGTGCAATCATTTTCACCTGCTTTTCCAAGTCGTTCCCCCCTATTAATAAACTCACTGCCCTGAGTTTCCCACCTGATCTTCCAAGTTGCTGTTGTCCATTTCACCGCTTGTACATAGTTCTTAGAAGAGCACAATACTGAAGACAGACATTCTTTACTAGTTAAGCTCACCTATTCTTTGTACAGCAATATATATTTAAAATGCTGTATCTTCTACCAAGGTTTTCTTGTCCCTAAAGTTGGCCTTTGATAGGCCCAAGCTTCTGTAAACTTTAGCTAAAACTTTCCGATAAGTTTCTAAAATATGCTATAGTAATTAATGTTATTCCTCTTACTATTCTTGACTCTTTGAGGACAGGGTTGCCATGGGGTGGAACGTTTCTCCCATACAGTGATGACCTGAAAGTGTTGTACTTATTGGGTGCTCAACAGACATGTTAAATTGTAGAGTCTCCTGAGTTTTTCCTTCCTTAGCTCCCTACACTTAACACAAGTGTCACTAAATAGTTACTCATATAACCATGGAGTTTCTGGGTGGTGCAAATTATTAATGCACTCGGCTGGAGGTTCAAGTCCACCCAGAGGTGCCTTGGAAGAAAGACCTGGCAACCCATTTCTGAAAAATCAGCTATTGCAAACCCTGTGGAGCACAGTTCTACTCTGACACATGGGTTGCCATAAGTCAGAATCTACTTGATGGCAACTGGTCATATAACCATATATTTAACACACTTCTCACTGGACTATAGACTCCATAAAGACAGGGACCAAATCTGTCTTGGTCACTGTTTTATCCCAAGGCTCAGCACTCAACCTGGTGTCCAATAAATATTTGTGAAAGAATCCTTTTAGTGTTAAAGTTTCAACCAAACACTTACATAGTGCTTATTATGTGCCAGACTCTGTTCTTCACCTTAAACATACGTATTAACGTATTTAATCCTTATGACAGCTCCATCCCCATTTCACTGATGAGGAAACTGAGGCAGCCGGACTAGGTAACCTCTTAAGAGAGTCCGTCTAATCAGATATGGATGTGCAGTCGTTCTCTACGACAGGAGCTGCGCTAGGGGACACAAAGTAACATCACGGTTAACGTTTTTTGAAGTTATATGTCAGTCTTCCTGTTAAGCACTTTACGTAATATTACTTAAGCCTCACAATAGCCTTGCAAATTAGTTACTATTAATCCTATTTATTTTTAAGGAAATACAGGTTTGGTGAGGTTCCGGAACGCGACAAACCCCCCAAGGCTGGGAGGAGGCGGTGTCCAGCCCCCTACGTCCGCGGAAAACCACAGGACTCCACCCCTCCGCCAGGTCTGGCCCCGCCCAACCCCTCTTTTGCGCCTGCGCGCTCTCCGCGCCAGCCCCCTCCTCCCGGGCGACGCGCCCCGCGCCTGCGCACTGCTTCTCCATGTGTGCTCGGTCCCGCCGAGCAGAGGCAGGAAGGCCCTTTTGGGGCAAGTCCTTGCCACAGGCTTGGCGGCCTCCATCTGCTGCTACCCTCTTCTCTCCGTCTGCTCGCACAGCGCACACGCCATGGGCAAGAGCCGGACGAAGCGCTTCAAGCGACCTCAGTTCTCCCCTACGGGCGACTGTCAAGCCGAGGCGGCGGCGGCGGACGGCGCCGAGGAAGAGGAGGACGACGGGCCGGCGGCGGAGCTGCTGGAGAAGG